TCTCGTCAGTTCGTTCATATGCTCAAAAGGGTTCGATTCAGCAGTGAATGAGAGATTGGTTTCACTTAGATATAAAGTGTGCAAGTTGTTGAAACCATAAAACGCTGTCTCATTCACCTTCCCCAATATGTTTTCACTTAGATCGAATGCCCAAATCGATTTTCTCGACATGTTTACTATGTCTAGCGCATTTTCTAATCGATTTCCGCGGATAGATAGTTGACGTAAATTTTTGAACTTCATCTTAGGATATCGGAGCTCATTTTTGCTGTTTGCATTTTTAAAAATTATTTCTTCTTCATTCATTGTCCATTCCATAGGGTTCGCACAAGATAAATCGAACTCAGTAACTTTTTCGAATGACACGTTTATTGAAGTCATGCCATTCAGTAACTGTATAATGCCACAATCTAACCGCCATATTGGATTATTTTTTAGGTTCAGTGTTTTGAATTTGGAATCCTTTGGAAAAGCGTCCTTATAAATCCATCTAATTTTATTATCACTTAGATCGAGCTCTTCTAAATCGAAAAGCCCACTAAACCAACCCGAATCTATTTCTTCGATTCGATTGTGTGAAAAGTCCACTTCTGTTAATTGTTTTGTGTTGTAAAATAGATACTTTGGCACTTCCGTTAATTTGTTGTAAGACACATAGAAGCCTAAACAGCTTCAAATGGTTGAATGGTAATTGTAAGTTGCCCAATGTCGTATATTTTGAAAACGAAAAGTCCAACGTGCGCACATTTCGATACACAATAAATTTGGGCTCGATCCATTCGGTAGGGCAATTCTGAATTTTTAGCACTTCCACAGAAGAATAATTACACTCAGCATATTCATAACGTGGTGCGCCGCAAAGAATGTGTCGTGATTCACTGTTATCTTTATTTAACTGTTGACCAGGAAGAAAAATACAATCATCTCGAGTATCCACAGCTTTGGCCAAAATCAAAATCGCCATGCAAACTATAACAAATCTCATTTTGTCAAACAGTAACAGTACACAAAATTCAACGTCTTCGGACCAAATATGAAATCGAAACTAAGCAGAAATCTCATTTATTGTTCCCTTTTGTACATTTTAATTGTATTATTAGTAAGCCAGGCTTTCGTTTATCAATTCCAAGAGAAATTGTTACTTGATAAATCAAAAAATTTACCAGCTCCCTGTTGCGTAACACTTCTGGCATTTCCTTCTTCAGTTCTATATCATCAAAATGAGAAGCATTTCGGTTAGTTTTATCAAAAAATGAATTCGTTCCAGTTTTCAAACGGCAAACAATTTCGAAAATAAAATTAATATCATTTTTAAGCAATCTATTTATTCAAGATTAGGGTTACTCATGGAGTGCGTCATTGGAAACAAACACTTTCAAATTATTTATTTCTTTTAAATTAACGACGTACAGAAATTCAATTTTATTAAGCCATCTAAGTGATCAGAACCGTTCAAATGAAATTTTGTTTAATTTTCCCACATAGCTTCCAGAAACATCCAGATGGAGTATATGTGATCTCAAATATTCTATAATTTCAGCTGTATATTCGAAACCGTTATCGGCTGCGTAAAAGCTCCCTAACCGCTCCAAAGTATGCGAAAGTATATTCGCATTCAATTGCTTTTTTCATCTTGATCTCAACAAATACATAGAGTCAGAATTTAAAATAGTATTCGTTGTGTTCGCGAGACATGCATAATTCTGCAATACAAATCTGTTTACATTACAACATAAACAACGCAGTGATATGGCTTTCAATTTTCGGCCATCCATCCGGTTTCGTTGTCCCCACTCAATGAATATTTAGTAAAACTCATTTACTTTGGACAGATCACAGTAGATGTTAGAAGCGTGATAGCGGTAGAACTTTAAGTGCAATTTTAAATTGCACCAATTCAATGTAATTAGCGATCACTATTTTAATAGAACAAAACGTTTAGTTTCAGAACATTTCGGTGGCCGTACTGAAAATTGCAATTTGAAGAAGAAAATGTTGCATGAATTTAACCGACGTTTTTGAATTGTGCTCTGAATTTGCACAATTGACAGCTACCAATGGAGGCGAAGTGTCATTTTGCGTCGTTGGGAACTTAACGAAACTTGCAAGCGTGTGAATTTTCGCTTTTATGCTGTGGCTTACGTCATACGTTGTTCTAGAATATTCACTCTTCCGTCAACCACCGAACGAGGCAGACATTTTGAGACGAAAGGAAAAAATCGACGACAAACGTGAGTGTTGAATCATTTTTTTTTGGTTCATTCATCGTCGCTACGAGATTCATTTATTTATTTATTTAAGTAAGTTAAAGATAGAATCATATACAATATATACATATTTTTTTTATTATTTATTACAATTATTTCGTATAAACTAATTGTTTTTCATAAGGTGATTGGTTGTGGGTAAATTCGTATTATTTCAATACTCCAATGAAACAGTATTGAGAACGGCTTTCAACCATTTTGTAAATCAATGAGAATTGATTTGAAAACAACACTCTAAATGACTAGGCAAGCGAACGAGTTAAATCATTTCTTTATTTTAAAGAAAAAGATTTTGAGGCGACTGCGGATTCGAACCACAGGTCTTTGGATTGCCGGTCCACTGCTCTAACCGCTAAGCTACCGCCGCCCATTCACTTGCCACGTCATTTTTCGAGTTGAACAGAGCGCTAGCAACTGTTTTTGTTTTTGGTGAATGAAGTGACTTATTTCGTCACTGGTTTCATTCGGGTTTTTTTTTACTACAACTCACGCATTTTTCGAAGATGCTGTGAATCGTAGTAAACGTTTACTACGTTTAGGTCATTCAATGTCTCACATCGTCGAACTGCCAAATGCTTGTTCGAAATGTGGTGGAAGATTCGCCACTCCGAATGATAAGCAAGCACATGAAAGACGCTGTCAACGAAAATCGAACAGATGCGAAATTTGCAGCAAACAATTCGTCCAACAGATTTATTTAAATCAGCATTTGTCATCAACACACAGTGACCAATTCCCCTTCCAATGCTCCAAGTGCTTCGGAAGATTCGCAACCGAAGATGCAAAAAATGTCCATGAAAATAACTGTGGCCACCGTCGGTATCAATGCCATTTGTGTAACAAGAATTGTCGAGACAAAGACAAATTGAAGATTCACATGTGTGCAGCAAACTTTGTCAAGAAATGTAATGCCAATCAACACATGAAAAGAGTTCACCGTTTGAAGAAATAACAAGTCACCCATTCCATAGATTTATTCGAAAAATACTTGAATTTGAAATCAATTTCCCAAAATAAAATTTGGATTTTTTGGATTTTGGATAGATTCGGGGAATCACAATGATTCGTCGCGTACGCCTATTGGTGTTTTGCGAACGGCCCGATTGTCACACTGTCCAGGGGACAGTGGAAGTTTCTTTTGGCTGTTGATGAGATAGTTTAGAAAGCATGAGCTAAGCGAGGGATCGCTGTACTTGCTTTGTTGTAAAATTCGAGAATCTTTTGCAAGAAGATTTTATTTATTTCGCATGGTTGAAATGTGTGATTGTTGAATATTTCAATTCTTAATCGGGATAGGCGTTCACATTCGCATATGATGTGAGCTGCCGTTTCTGGTGCTCTACCGCATAAGTCACAGTCCGGGTCATCTCTCAGACGTCGCCTGTGATTGTGATAGTTAAGACGGCAGTGACCAGTCAGAATACCTATTGCTTTCTTTAACGTCGCTTTGGGTAGCGTGAGCAGGTATTTTGATATTTCGACTTGTGGGCGCAGACAAAATAGTTTGGTCTGCCTACAAGTGTTTGTTGCTTGCCATATTCGTTGAATCGTTTCCTTTTGTCAAGAGTCATTTGACTTCCTGCATTCGGATGTATTCAGTGGTAGCATGAATTCCGGATGTGCAATGGTGTTAGCGGCTTGTCTTGCCAGGCTGTCCGCCATTTCATTACCCGGAATATTAGAGTGTGCTGGTATCCAAATTAGTTTCAATTGGTTCGTCGAACCAATCTCATTTAATATTTTCCAGCATTCGGCGATAATAAGGCTATTTGTGGATGGTTCCTTTAGTGCTGTTGAAGCACCTAGGCTGTCCGTACAAATAGTTATTTGGCCTTGGTTTTGTACATTCCTGTGAATTTGGCAACATCTGTAGATTGCTGTTAGCTCAACTTGCTTGACGCAAATTGATCCGGCTAAGTGGCCGGTGAAGTAAGAATTTTGAGGTTGAAAAAGTATCGCATATCCACTGCCAGACTCTTTTACAGACGCATCAGTGTAGCATACGCATTGTGATTGCGATGTAATTGCTGCGAAGCTCTGTTGCCAGTCTGTTCTGTTGCTTGCGATCACTTCAAAGTTCCTGTTAAAATCTCCGTTTGGTTTATACACTGTTTAGTAATTTTATTCAACTTTAAAGTTCGCCCTGGATGCCCGAAGAACAGTCATAGTGTTAACACAAAGAAACCTAACCAATACAAGGAAATGAGTAGTAAGCCGAATTGTCAACGGTTCAAGTTAATCTAACAACGCGTTTGAGAAAAGATAGACTAACTGGAGCGTTAAACATATTATTGTCGGCCTTAATGACTGCAAAAGTCATCTTTCAATTTTTCAGAGAAGTGATATATTGAAGAAAAGTTTTACATCTAGTCTAACAAGTCCCTGTTGGTAGATATAAATTTACAATTTAGAAGAGACCGAAAGACATAAAAAAGTATTCTGATTTTCGCAAATACATTGACACAAAAGGTAGTTTCCATTATGAAGTAATAACAAGTCAAAGCTAATCACCAACCGCCGTACGGTACTCTCTTCGGGCGAATTGGGTGAACTTTCTCAACACGCTCTCAATTTTGTCGATATGCGCGGTATAAGTTGGTAGCCATACAAATTGTGGAGAACAAAAATACAATGATTTTGTGTCGTATTTGTTTCCCATGTGATACAAACATATGCGTGGTGTGTACGGAAGAGTAAAAATAGATTCAAAAGAAGTCAAGAGCGTTCGTACAGGCACATATAATGAATATTTTGTAATAATGCCTAATTTCATTCTATTTTTTCAGTTCCGTTCACAGGGAAATCTGCAGAATATGCATAATCAACATCACCATCAACATGCACATAATTTGCAGCATCAGCATCAAATTCTACACTTGAACCATCAGTTAGGTAAGGCATTTCATTGCAATACCACTATAAACACCTGAAAAATTCAAAATTCAATTCTATATAATCTTCGTTTTATTCAGGATCTCTTCACATCAATCAAACACAACAACAGCAACAAAAACAGCGACAACAGGTGGTATTACATGAAACGCAAACCAATGAAACAGAACAAGAACCAGAAGGAGGAAATAGTGAACCGGTTAGTGAAAAAATGAAATATTACATATGGTATTTAGCTATTGTGGTAGATTAGTTTCACCAACGAAACTGTGGTAATTTTTTTCCAAATTGACTGCGCTCTTTCAGCTAGAACTGAAAGTATGAAATCCTGTCTATAGATCCGTTTAAAATCCTAATAAAATTGTTTTTAAAACTCAAGTTACTAGCGCTAGCGCTATAAAAGCCAAATGAGCGCAAAGCGTAATAAAAGTACCTTATGAAAGTACGAACTTTTGTAAATAGTATTTACCGATTTACCAAATGATAACTCGGCTATAAAACTTGTTTATTTATTTATTTATTTAACACCGCCAAAAATTGGCTGAATATTT